CGATGACTTCATCTCGGACAGGTCAAGGCATGCTTACCTGGGCTCCCTCATCCCTTGCAATCCAGCGGCTGATGGATGATGGACGGCACTTGCCAGGAGGACCTTTCCCCTGTGACTACACACGGGACACATGTGTTTCTGCAGTTCTTAATTGTGCAGGGTGACAGGCACAGATTTTTCTCTTTTCTGCCACCTTCCTGGAAATGTGTATCTCATCCGTTGTCCTTGGTAACCCCCCCTGCTTTCATCCTTGCAGAGTTAAGCACTTGTTCCCAGGGAAGGATTAAAGCACAGATCAAACCTTATAAAGCAGAGCAAGCTACCGTTTCAGGTCAAGGTTCACACAAATTATGTCAATTTAAGAACCACCTTCACAAAGCCAACTTTTTTTTTTTTTTTGCAATACCAATCCCGCCAAAACTAAAAAGTGCAAAGGTGAACAGGAAACCTTTATGCAAATGTCACATTTTACTTTCAAATTCCTAAGCACAATTATCCATTATGTCCCAGAAAATTGGTAATAACTAAAAAAAAAGCAGATAATGGGTAAGTACTGTGGCAGTGCAATTATAATGTATGCTTAAAATTATCTTTTTGAAAACTTGTTCTCAGCTCTTTGGCTCTTTTGATTTATGTGAACCGTGACTTTTTATCTCTAGGTTCCATCCCTCATTTTAAGAGATCTGGTGAAATCTTTTACACTTAAGAAAATGGGGGTAATCCAATTTCTTTTCTCCCAAGATGAGAGATTTTTTAAAAATTCATCATTAATTTATTATGCTGTTGAACTTTAAGAAAACTTCTGCTTCTCTATGTCCAGATGTGTGATATACAAAATATGGCTATTTCATATCACTAACTAGTGCATAGTAAAATATAATTTAAGGGAAAGGTTTTCAATAACCTGTTTTGTAGAAGGAACTCTGCACCTGGGAGTCATAAATTGGGCAGATTTTTAAAAATCCTTCAGCAGTTGCAAATGACTGAAAATTGCAAGATAAAGCAATTATTTTGAGAAATTTTTTTTTTTTTTTTAGCCTCCATGGACTCAAATCTATTAAAAAATTGTCTTCTTAAAGTGTTATTATGAGTCTGTCCTTTTAAAGTTTGGTAGTGAGAACAAAATGTGCGTAATTTGTGTTTATTCTTTATTCTATCTGGATTGAACATGATTTATCATGGATGTAGCTGCAGAGGATTTTATTGCCTTTCTTCCTTAGGAAATTTTGAAGTGGTAAGAATTCCCAAAGGAGACTTTTTTTCCCCCCCAAGACTCATGGCTTCTTTGATGTGCCTTTAGTTGTGGAGTCTGTTCTGTCAGTCTTCAGATCGACTCCTGGGGTATTTAGGATGATTTGATAGTTACTTAGTAGTGTTCATGGGACGAAAGGAGTCTAGGGTCCTACTCAGCCGCCATCTTCCTTCTGTGGCTGAGGCAAGATAGATTTTTATCCTTACTGACAGTCTTGCCAAAGTGTGGGGGGAGATGTGTGTTACTGGGAGAGTCTTCCTTAAAGATGTCATAGAATCCACAGCATTAGAGAAAATAACCTTATATTATAATATGAATTTCCTGACACTTGAAGATATATTTATTGTTACCACTTAGAGGTGTTATTCCATGAAAAGAGCTCAAGAATTCTAGATAGCTGTTATAGAAGGAGTCACATGACGATCTTTTCAAAACACAAAGATTTGCATACCATTATTTCTACATTTGGTATCATTGACATTGGATTAGCTCTTCTTCTGCATGGTTGTATTCATTGAAATCAAGGGATAAAAGCCATTCTGGATAATGTGAGAACACTGAGCTGGAATCTTGGACCTCTAACCTCTCCTTCCCTTGCAGATAAGAGGCTCAGGCTTGACTTATGGTTTATAGTGGGGGCTGACACATTATGGCGCATGGGCCAAATCTGGCCTTCTGCCTGGCTTTGTAAATAAAGTTTTATTCGCACACGGCCACACCCATTGGCTTCTATATAGTCTATGGCTGTTTTCATGCTACAAGGACAGAGTTATTATGGCAATTATAGGTGTTGGTGAGAATTATGTAGGTCAGGCCAAAGTGTCATATTTATAACTGAATTACAGGCAACAAGGAAGAAATTGTTTATCAGCCAAAAGCTGGGGACACCACAGGACCAAGTTTCCTAAAGCCTTAAAATTGCAAACTCTCTTTTATACAATCTAAGACGCATCAAAGAATTATCTTGTGGGTAGTGGGGGTTGGAAGACGCGGTCTGCTACTCATAATTGAGCAAACTTGAAGAAGTCTATTTGAAATGATCAATCACTGTGTTAATTTTTTTTCTCTAGTGTCTGATATTCAGTGTCCTATCACAAGGGAACAGTCTCCTCTTTGGTTGTTGGAAGTGTTCTTATAAAGAAAGCATCCCTCCCTCAATTTCTCCTTCCACAAAGTGGGGTGGCAAGAGGTCCCACTCTTTTGGGTTCTTTCTCTCCTGCTTGGCTGCCCTGGTAAAGAAAGCCTATTTGTCACTGTTGCCTATGCCCACTCGACCCCAAGCTGTCCGTACCAGCCCCCAGGGAAGAAGCTCTTGGCCTGACTATCCTAGACTGTGGGGCCAATTCTCCTTTGCATGGAAGAAAGTCTTTCTTTTCCATGAGGGGGAACTATCCAAGTCTAAGTGTGGGATTGAAGGGAAGAAAGCCCATGCAAGTTGCTTTAGTCCCTACTCAAGGTCTCCCGTAGGCTGAGCTAAAGCATGGCATGCACTACTTTGGTGTGGTCTGCTAGGATTCCCTGTTGGGGTTTGGGGTGAATGATAATACAGAATCCTCACATTCCAGACACTGTGTTCTATGCTTATATTTTGTGGGGGGAGAAATTGAGGATATAGTTCAGCATCCATGCATATTCAGGGGAGGAAAAAGTTTTCCTCTACCCTCTTACGATATAGTAATGAGGCCTGTGAATTAAACTGATAAGACACAGATTAACAAGAGAAAGGGTTTATTTGTGCATATGGAGTCCTTCATACAAAAGAAGAGCCTACAGAAGGAGTTAGACTAAGGAGCTTATATGCCATTTTAACAAAGGACAATGAATTGTATATAAGTGACAAGTAAAGGCAAAGGGGTTTGGGCATCTACGGGTAGTAAATTGTGGGAGGGTAAATATATGGGGGGAAACTAATGGAAGATAAGGATTATTTTAGTAAGTTTTGTTTGTTGATCTGTCTCCAGTGATAAGGCTGTTCTCCTCCTGGTACGGGGGAGGGGGAGGGAAATACCTTCATGAGGGCAAATGTATGCCGTGCTTTGGGGCAGACAGTGGGATGGCACAGCGCTCTTTCTGCATTTGCTACTTCTTCATTGTCTTCAGCTCAAAATAACCTTATGCCAAAGTGGCATATTTTGGGATGGCATCTTCTTATCCACCCCCGCCAGATATCCTAAGGATGAATAGTGCTCCCTAAAAATTGATGTCTACCCAGAATCTCAGAATGTGACCTTATTTGGAAGAAAGGTCTTCGCAGATGTAATTAGTTAGGGATCTGGAGATGAAATCATCCTGAATTTAGGGTGGGCCCTAAATCCTTATAAGAAGAGAGAACACAGAGAGACACACAGGGCAGAAGGCCATATGGAGAGGGTGGCAGAGAAGGGAGTGATGCTTTCATGGGCCAATGAGCCAAGCATGGTGCCACTAGAAGCTAGAAGAGGCAAGTAAGGAGGGTTTGTTAGGGTTTCCAGAGGGAACATGTCCCTGCTGACACCTTGGCTTTGGGACTTTTGGCTTCCTGACCTAGGAGAGAATTAATTTCTGTCATCGTAAGCCACCAGTTTGTAGGACTTTGCTCTAGCAGCCAAAGAAAACTACAGCTGACCTATAAACAGCACACGTTTGAACGTCACGGGTCCACTTCTTGTGTTTTTTCAAAAAATACGGTACAGTTCTGTATATCTATTTTCTCTTCCTCATGATTTTCTTTTTTTCCCTTCCTTATGATTTTCTTAGTCACATTTTTTTTATTATTGTACGAATATAGTATATAACACATATACAAAATATGTTAATTGACTGTTTATGTGGTCGGTAAGGCTTCTGGTCAATAGTAGGCTATTAGTAGTTAAGTTTTTCGGGAGTCAAAGTTATATGTGGATTTTCAACTGTGTGTGGTGGGGGTTGGCTCCCTGAACCCCCACATTATTCAAGGTTTGAGTGTAATACACATAAACAAACACCTCATCAACACTGTTCAGTTATTACATGCTCACATTTATGTCTGTGTACCGAAAAGTCCCAACAAGGTGCCATACTATCTACTATTATGCACTATTTATTGAATAATTGAACTCTTAACATATACCGGACGCTACGTGTGGCTTTTTACTGCACGTACATTTCAAGGCTTTCATATATCTATTTCCAAATTGTGCTACCACCTACACATCTCCAGAGTCTTAATCACTAGCACTTCTAAAATATTTAATAGAATAATAGAACATTTCTTCTTTTGTCAATTATCATTTCAGCAATTACTTTAATATCTAAAATATTTTAAAGGTTTCTTTCATCTCAGCAGAAAGTCCTTCTACCCAGGGAGCTGTGACTCAAAGATGTATTTCAGCCTTAGGCAAAACCGTTTCATTCATTTATTATCCCCGATTTTTGTTATTTGGGATTCGTTGTTGTGGTTCACAGACTTGGGACTGAATGAAAATTTTAGGCAAAGACTTTTTCTAGTGTAAGGAGCTGAGAAAGCAGTCAACATTCACCCTAAATACTACGCATTCAGAGAGACAGGTGGGGAATAAAACCTTGGCATTCTGGAAAACCATGTTTTTATTAGTGCCAGAAATATTCAGTGGGTACTTGTGATCTCCACTCACAAGATCTAAGACTCAAATGTAAGATGTTGGCATTTCACCAATAAAGATAAAGTGCCTTTCCACAGGAGTCTTAAGTTCTCTTAAATGGTACCACATTTTCAACACTTCACAAAGCATCAAACACACTGACACTTGAGGCAAACATGAATACTTTATTCTCCCTCAATAAAACAGTTAAACACATCCATTCTCAGCCATGCAAGGTTTTATGATCTAAGGCCATGGTTGCACAACTCAAAAGGAACACAGGTGAGAAAAAGAAGAAGAAGAAGAAAGAAAAAAGTTCAAAGCTACCGGTATTATCCAGAAAGTTTTACTTCGCTCCGTTGATTATATTGATTTAACAGAGACATAGAACCTCCCACATCTTGGACAGAGTGGCCACAGAGAATTCTGGATTTTGATCCTCCAACACGTGTGATCCTTTCACAGTGATCCTTCTTTGAGTCTTCTGAAACCCATCTCCATTGTTTTTTTACCACCATGGACTATTGCCCCATGCTACCTTCTTGCCTTCCTAGGCATGTGGAATTAGGTGCTACCTCCTTGCCTTCCTAGGTATGTGGAATTAGGTGCTACCTCCTTGCCTTCCTAGGTACGTGGAATTAGGCGACCTGAAGAGTCTTGGGAAAGTAGCTCTCATCCACAGAATTGTCACTGCCTCTAGAATTAAGAAGAGATTTTGCACACAGTGCCCACTCAAACGTGAGACACGCTCTGTTGAAAGGGAAAAAGCAGATGGCAATGCTTACCTTCTGGGTCTAGGTCAGAAAGGGGGCTTCTGTTCGTCACAGGAGAAATATGGCCCTGGCACATACATCTCTGTCTGTATGCAGCTGGTCATCTCCTCTGTGCACACAAAGTGATGGATTGTGGGGGTACTTCTGGGACTTCCCAAGAGCTGTTTGGATGTGTCCAAGACTGAGATGCACATGGGTGTGCAGATGTTTCCAAGGGCTTCAATGTCCAAGGGCATGTAAGTGTGATTATCACAGTGTAACCCCATCTGAATGCACTGAAAACAAGGATATCAAAGATGTACACAGAGCAGAATATTTGGGGTGATTCCATATTATTTGAAAAATACACTGTATGTGCTGATACTACATTGCATGTACTTACTAAAAAGTCTGGTAGAACATAGACCCAAGGGGTCATTACCCCAGCATAGTGGAAATTTGGAGGAATAACTTGCAAGAAAGCTGGGAATGAGGAGACAGGGTTTTCCAATTTACATTTACACTTTTATATTTTTTCCATTTTTTGGGGGGTCTTTATAAACAAATATTTTAGTATTTTTCTTTTGGGCTTTAAAGTGGAATGTATCTGTATTTTACCTGTTTTCAAGCTATAACAACTACAAAACATTAATTAAAAAGTGGGGAAAAAAGATGGAGGGAGGAAATCTGAATGGTCAAAAAAACAAAAAACAAAAAACAAAAACACAAGAAAACCAGAGAAAACCGTATTAACAAAGATGACAATTAAAAAAATTAAAATCTATGATGATTCATTGACAAGTTAAGTGCCCAATAATGTCAGATAGATGGGACAAAATGTGCAATATTCACAAATATAAGTCATGTCTGGTTAGTAACAATGATATCAAAGGATATTATGAATTTGTACAGAAAGATATGAACAATATGTAAATTTTTTTAATTCACAAAGATGTTTTATCTAAGGATCCCATGTTGTGGAGGAACATTTTCCAGGTCTCGCTATAATGAAGGCAGTATGGAAGGTTGTGCTATAAAATGTAAACATCAGTCATTCCAGTGGTAGGAGCACTGTAGATTGTCATTGCATTCTTTATGCGTATAGACACTTCCTAGGTTTAGAATGAGTATGTACTAATCTGATATTTGACAAAGAGGAGATATATTAAGAGTTGCCTATACAGTCTTGGTCTAAAGTCAGCAAACACAGATGGCACATTTAAGAGTTTGTGGCTACAGATGGGGACTGACATGTCCATGGATTGTTATCATATCTTTTTTTTTAAGATTATTTATTTATTTATTTGAGAGACAGAGTCAGAGATACTGACAGAGATAGCAAGAGAGAGCAGAAGCAGGGAGGAGAGGAAGAAGCAGGCCCCTGGCTAAGCAGGTAGCCGGACTCGAGCCTCGATCCTAGGACCCTGGGATCATGACCTGAGCCGAAGGAAGACGACTGAGCCACCCAGGCGCCCCTGTTACATTTTATCACTGAGGCTATCAATTCAAGCAGTAACCACATAAAATGCGCTTTAAAAAATATTAGGTCATTTAAATTCAATGTGAATATTGTGGACCATATATCATTCTTAATTTGACCATGACTGAAAGTTACAGAGAAATGCTGAGACATGGACAATTCTATTTGTCCTTTACACAGATCAAGCCTCTTCCCACAACATTCTCCTCTGGGCTTTCCGATGATACTAGCTTTCACATCCAGCCTTTTAAAAGGAAAAGGAACAGGAGGAAAATTGAATATCAAACATGATTCGTAGCCCTCCATACCTCCATGACTGGAGACTGCAGATAAAACAAATGAAGAGATCCCAGAAAGAGCAAAGCCCTTTCTCCCAGCACACAAACAGACTATTTTTATATTCAGGAGAGAATTCCCCTAAAAAAAAAAAAAGATCCTTCGGTTCTGGCAGCTATTTGCTGGTTCTAGAAAAGGGGAGGAAAGGATCGCCTTTCTCACTCAGTGTTTGAATAAGAGTCCTTATGTTAAACTGACATCTTGGTCTTAGGGTGAAACTCCTCTGAGGCTCTCAGAAAAAAAAAGAAGCCAGGAGTTAGAAATCTGCTTTTTCAAACCCAGAGTCAGATTCTCAAGTACAAACTCTGGTCTCCTTTGCTTCCTTCTCCCTTCATTGGTGGGGGCAGCTGAGCTTTCACATTTCATATGGTAGAGCAGAGCTTCTCAAACATTAATGCGCACACAAATCCACTAGGGGTCTTGTTAAAATTATAGATTCTGATTCCATAGATCTTGGCAGGGAAGGGACCTGAGATTCTACATTTCCTACAAGCTCTCAGGTGAACCCATGCTGCCTGAACAATGCCTAAATTTGAAGGTTTTCAACAGTGCTAGAGGAAAGAATAATATTTTCTTGCCTATGAGAATTTTCCATAGTTTGCACCTTATATGGTCAACTTGTGCAGTGTTTCTGGGTATACTCATGTTTTATCCCAGAATGTAGATTGGGTAATTACAACAGAAGGAAATGTCCCTGAAATGGATCAAACAGTAAAGAAAGAGATGTTCCAGGGTGTTAGAATCTAGTTGGCCTGGGACCTGAGGGTACTGTCTACTTTCATGGAAATTGAACCAACTAGGTGGCATCATGCCCTGCTAGGAGGCAGGACAAAAACACAATTTAAGAACACAGGCACACTAACCAACTTTGTGGTAGTGATGGACGCAAGTAAAATCGGTGTTTCCTAGGTCAACCCTCTTCACTGCACAGAAGTCAAAGACTGTGACACATTAAGTCAACCCATGATGCCATGAAATAGTAGGAAGGTATAAACCAAGGAGCACTCATTCTAGACAATTTTACTACATCAACAACCCAGAACATACCCCCTTATCTGAGTCATCCAACATGCAATACGCATGGCATGCACCATTTGTCTCCCTCACCAATCTCTATGGGAAATCCAGCCACCCAAAGTATGTTTTGTGGATTTGTTTTGTAGACTTTATTAAAGATATCATAAGTGAGATAAAGGGGGACAGACTTCACACATTTCACAGCTTTTAATCCTCCAGATCTTTGTTCCCTTGTAGAGATGTTCCCCTTTAAAGATTTCCATCTCCTATTCTCCCTCTTTGTCTCTTTCCTCCTTTGATGATCATCTTCATCCCCCTCAATGAAGCAAGGCCATATGGCATTAAACCCATATGCCCTATCAAACTCCATGTTCCACAAAACCAAAGGATGCTGCTCCCTTTAAGTGGCTATTTAGAAACCATGTATTGTTTCGTTTAGACGTTGATGTGATGGTTAATTCTATGTGTCAACTTGACCAGTGGAAGGGATGCCCAGATAGCTGAGAGAATGTTACTTCTTGGTGTGTCTGTGAGGGTGTTTCTGCAAGAGATTAACATTTGAATCAGTAGCATGGGTAAAGAAGATCCACCTTCACCAATGTGGGTGGGCCTCATCTAATCCATTAGGGGCTTGAATGGAACAAAAAGGCAGAGGAAGGGGAATTTCTCTTTCTCTCTTCTTGAGCTGGCATGTCCATCTTCTTCTACCCTCAGGTACTGGAGCTCTTGATTAGAGTGGTCTACCTAGCAGTAAATTTCTTTGTATAGCCTATAGTAAATCAGGAGTAGTTTTTCTTAACACTTTTTGTTTTGTTTGGCATTCTTAGTAAAGTTCTTTATATTGGAATGATTTTAGATTTATAGAAAAGTTGTAAAGATAGCATGGAGATTTCCCATATGAACTTTACCCAGTTTCCCCCAATGTTAACATCTTACACGACCATGGCTTGCTTGTCCAAACTATGCAACCAACTTTGGGACATTACTATTAACTGTATTTATAAATTTTATGAGGATTTCCCCAGTTTATCCAATAATGAGATTTTTCTGTTCCAGGATCCCATCCAGGATACTACATTGCATTTAGTTACTATACCTCTTAGTCTCCTCTGCACCATGACAATTTCTCAGAATTTCCTTGCTTTTTGTAACCTTGACAGTTAGATATTTTTTAGAATATCCCTCAACCTGGATTTGTCTGATGCTTTCTAATGATGAAACTGCAGATATGGGTTCTGGGGAAGAAGTCCTCAGAGGTGAGGTGCCCTTCTCATCATGTCCTATTGGGAGTCCATGATTTCCATATGACTCATCACTAATGATGTTACCCAGGGTCACTTGGTAAAGGCCGCATCTGTTGTGTTTCTCCACTGTTAATCATTTCTTGTGTTGTGTGACCATGGGATTTTTAAAAAAAGTATCAATTTTCAAAATACCTAAAGTGGTATTTCTTTCTTTTTTTATTGAGTTCCTTTTTTGTTTTCAATTTATTTCTAATTCAACTTTATCTTTGTTATTTTCTCCCAGAAAAAAATTCTTAAATACCATATTTCTCATAGAACTCTCCTGCTTAAACCTTCAGGCTATTCTTGGTTGGGATAAAAGGAAACCCATATTTTGAGCATCTCCAAGGTGTGAGGGAAAGTAATAAATATTTTATATATATTTCTTACTTACATTTCACAAGAGCTCTCTAAATTAAATATTAACAGACCGTTTTTTCAAATGAAGAAACTAATTTTCCCAAGGCCATAGTTAAAGACAGTAAGTAATAAAACAGGTATGAGAGAACCTAGATTCTTTACCCAAAGACTCAAGATCACCCACAAACTTCTCAAATTTGACTTTGTCACTCTACTACATGGGTCCACTCCCACCCACCCCAAAAAAAGAAAGGTCTAAGCCCTGCACTGTAAGCATTCCCTAAACATCAGTGCCCTGCACTGTAAGCATTCCCTAAACATCAGTGCCTTGAACATTCACTCCTGCAGCCCCTATTCTCCAAGTGGCCATCCTAAATATCACTCAACTCCAAGCTGAAGCCTACCTCCTCCAGGAAGCTCCCACTGAATATGACGCCCACAACCACATCTTCTCCCTTGTACTGAGTGTGCTGTTTTCTAGCATTCACTAGCACTAGATGATGGTCTTCACGCCCCTGCATCCAGCTTGTTAAACAGGGTCAGTCCATCCATTCACCATGCCATGGAGCGTACACAACTTCCAGCCCTGATTAACAATGCTTACACGAGGAAACCCTCAGGAATGGTCTCTGGCTTCTTGGCTGGAGCCATGCATTATGTCCTTCTCACCACATCCCACCTCCTGACTTTGACCCCCTCCTGTAGCCTCCCCTTGCATTTGACTACACACCCATGCAAAAGTCAGCCAGCTACCAAGGTAGAGGGAGTAGTCCTCAAGACTGTTATCACTTCTTTTTTTTTTAAAAGATTTTATTTATTTATTTCAGAGAGAGAGTGTGTGAGTGCAAGCATGAACAGGAGAAGGGCAGAGGGAGAAGCAAACACCCTCCTGAGCAGAGAGCCCATTGTGGGGCTTGATCCCAAGACCCTTAGATCATGACCTGAGCTGAAGGCAGATGCTTAACCGACTGAGCCACCCAGGCGCCCCAAATTGTTATCACTTCCGATGCTAATTGCAAGATCTGGGGGGTTTCCCCAGACCACGCTATAATTCTATAGAAGGACTCACAGATCTCACAGAAAGCTATTTTCCTCCCAATTATGATTTACTATAGTGAAAGGGTACACATGGAAATCAGCAAAGGGAAAAGACATAGAGATGCATGTGGGAAAACTGCAAATGCAGAGCTTCCAGGTATCCTCTCCCTCTTTGGAGACATGGACAGTATTACATTCCCAGCACTGATGTGTGACAATACACAGGGAGTATTGCCATGTAGGAACACTCACCTGAGATTTGGTGTCTAGAGTTTTTATGGAGACTCCATCATGTAAGAATGACAGACTGACCACGTGGCTGACCTCAGTCTCCAGCCAGTCAGGAAGACAAGCTGATACCTCATGACCCAAAGCCCCTACCTTCTGTCACTTTGTTTGGTTTTCTGGCATGCCCAGGACCCCCACCCTAAATCACAGTGTTACACAACCCAGTGACCCAAAGCCCCCGGGGCAAACAAAGATACCCCTGTCTCAGGACATTCCAAGGGCTTAGAGGTCACTTCCAGAAGCTAAGCGGCAAAGGCCAGATCTCTTTTTGAACAAGATTGAATTCTAGACTACACCGTTGGGTATCTCTTACTGTCTTGAGGACCTTCATCCTCTTTTTTGACACTTAGCTCTGCATATGTTTCTTACCACAACCAGAACATGTGTGTGTATGCAGACACTCAGACATTTACAATGATGTTTCCACAGTGCTAGGATTATGGTTGTTTTTTTTTTGTTTCTCATTTATACTTTTCTACTATATCCATATATCCTACAAAAATGGTTGCTTCAATAATTAGGATGGGAAAACAGGTTTTAATGAGGCTTTTTTTTTTTTACATGTTGCCCATCCAGTTTTGTTCACTATGAACTACAAGATTTGTCCACTCAGTAGGTCACTGATATAATATTTGGAGGATTGTACGTACTTTTTCCTCCCATGAATTATGTGAAGAATCACTAAAAAGGGTATGTTAAGAAAAATGTAAACTCTACTTGCTAATTAGAACTAGGCATGTTTTACAGTAAAATACCCTAAGTACGCACCTAAGCAGCATCAGCACACACAAGAGACATGCGTATGTAAACACAAGCATATGTAGATGTCAACATGGAGACGTGTGGATTGTGTCACCCTATATAAGATGCTTCAGCCAGGATGGCCACTGGGGTACTCTCTTATTTGTCTTATCCAAATTTCTTCTCTGCCCGTTCAATGGTGCTATTTCTCACTACAGCATGTACTATCAATGCAGACAGTAGAACCCCTAAGGGACCAAGACTGAATCCTAGGGGTGAAAGAAACCTTAGTGTTTTTATGTATAAAGCACAAATATGCACACAGTACATAAATAGATAAACAATGTAAGTACGGTATTAAACTGACATGGGAGGGAAATGGTACAATTAGAAAAGAAAATGTCCCAAAAAAAAGAAAGAAAGAAAGAAAGCAACTCCTTTGTGAAGCCTTATCTTCCTCAACCTTAACTGAGAACTCGTTACTTTGACACAAGAATTTCTTGAATTTACTTCAGCCATAACCATACCAGCATCGAAAGGAGGTCAGGGTGCCTCCCCCTCCGTGTGAAGCTCACCAGAGCTTCCTTGTAATTATCTCTCTATTTGCGAGAAACCAGCAGTGTCTCTAGTACCTGGGAAGTGCTACATAATCATTTCATGAATAAGTAAACCAGCTAAGAACAAAAGGTCAACTATAAAAATAACTCACAAGTATTGAACATTGACAAGGGGCCAAAGACGGTTCTGATTATCTCCTAAATCCTCACAGCACCCCTATGAAGGAGACACTGGGGTTTCCATTCTCATTTTATAAACAAGAGAAGTGACACACAGAGAATTTAAGCCAAGTTTCCAAGCTGGCTCAGTTAGTAAGTGGAAGACCCAAGCACAGATCCAGGAGCCGAAACATCGCTCCACTTCTCTGTATCAACACGTCATCGTTATTCCTGGGAGCAATCCAGCGCTTGGAAGAAGTATTCTTTATGCTAAGAAAGAATAAACATACCCTTCATAAATAATACAAAAACAAGCAACAGCTTCTACAGAGTGGAGAGCTACTGCCAAGGAGCCAGGAGTGTGCTGGCAATTAATAAAACATTTTTAAATGTACTCTAATTAGAATACAATAAGGAAAATTAATTAATGATTCTGAAACAGAGAGCAAGTAGAAACAATTATTATAATTTTGCATGTATTGAGAACCCATAACAGTCCCACTGTCGGGCTCACAAAATCCATTCCCCATGCTATGAGGTGTAGTTTGAACCACTGGTAGAGATGTCAGTCTATATTTTGTTGGACCACTGTATTAATCTGGTAGGGTGTGCCACTGAGAGATTTAAAAAAAAAAAAAAGTCAAATAAAATAACACACATGTTCTCAGTAATTCCATATACTGTGGTTGATGGCAATGCTAGACCCCTACATATGACTCGACCAGAGCATTCACACACAATAGATTCCAGGCATGCATAACTGCTGGTATTAATGCTCCATACTTCTGCCTGGTTTTCAATCAAATCTTTGCTATAAAATAGAATACAATTCCAGACAGTCCTGTGTTTAGCTTAGAGTCTATTATTTCTGCCACACGAGCTGTTCTTCAACATAACACAGTCACTTTGGAAAGTTCTTATTTTGCTAAACGTGTCCCTGAGCAAATGTCTAAATAATTACAGTCCCTCAAAAATGAGAACATTTATGCCATGAAATTCAACTAGTGGGAAAATTGCTTTCAAATGTCCCATGTCTGTTGCAAAGGATTGTTCTGGTTTTACATTTAATGTTTCTCAGTTTTGTACCAAGCCAATATTCGGAGTTTTCAAAATTAGCTTTATATGGTGATCACTGGTCTCCTTCCACATTTTCTAAAAACTACATCTCTAGCTCCCCTCTGTGTGAATAAATCTAGAGCTTCAGCTATGACTGATAAACCATGATTTCTCATGTCAGTGGTAATTCTAACAATAGATGTTTGTGCTACAATTTATAGCTACGGAGCTTTTTACACGTGCTGTTGAACTTATTCTCAGAAGAACAGAAGCTATCAGCACTGCTATAATCTCTGTCAGACAAGGTTCCGGGGAGAAATATCACTTACCAGAGGTAGCGCGTCAAGGTAGAGTAAGCTGCAGCTACAAACAGACCCAACGTGGTGGCTCAGACGTGGTCACTTCCATGCACAGTGTAGAGCTTGTGTTGAGGGCAGCGGAAACCTCCGCTCCACACGGTCATTCAGGGATCCAAGCTGTCATGCTTCTACCATCTTCAATTCACATCGTGCATTGACCCTCTGAGCATCAGCACTGCAGTCGGCTGGAGGGAAGTGCAGGGGGGTACATCTTATGAGAGACTTCCAAGGTTATGCCTAGCACATTCACTTCTGCTCACTTCTGGGAGCACCTGGTCAGCTGGGCAACCTAACTATGAGGAAGACTGGGAATGGACATAGCTGGGTATATGGAAGAAGGGCTGGGCAAACGGTCTCTCCCACAGCTAAGGAAGAGCCCGAGCAGGACTGAGCCAAGTTCTTCTGACTCAAATCCTGTATCTTCTCTCTATCCATCACTGCCTGAATGCCTGGACTTAATTAAAGTATCATTGGATCAAATGGACTGCTTCCTCATTACAAACATTTTGTCATAGGGGATATACCCATCGCTGTGTTCAGGCCAACACTCTGCCAGCCAACATTTTCCTCCAGGAGGAAACTGGCTTTTTATCTCTTGAGAACACGATTGATCCCCAAGGGCTAAGACATTCAGTGCAAATCTAAGCTATGGGACAAACAGATAGAATGAACCATGTCAAGAGTGTAAGGTTTGGGGGTAGGTGCTGCTTATTTGGTCCTGCCCAGGGTTTGCAGCACCAGAATCCTGGATTCTGTAGGTACGTGTAAGTAGGTACCTACTGGGACCTACCCTGTAAGAGTGGGCAGCCTCTGTAGGTCATGAGATCTTGTAGAAATGAAGGCATTTGTCCAAGAGGAATAAAAACACATGTCCCCACAAAAACTCATATACGAATGTTCACAGCAGCATTTTTCATAATAGCCAGTATGTAGAAAAACCATAAACGTCCACCAACCAATGAATGGATAAGCAAAATGTGTTCCATCCATATAATGGAATATTATTTGGCCATAAAAAACAATGAAATTCTGACAGGTGCTACCATGTGGATGAACCTCAAAGATTATGCACAAAGAAGCCAGACACAAAAGGTCACATATTGTAGATTCCATTTACATGAAATGTCCAGAGGAGCAAAATCTAGAAAGACAGAAAGCAGACTGACTGGTGGTTGCCAGGGGCTGGCAGAGAGTGGAATGGAAATTGACTGCTGATGGGTAGAGGCTTTCTTTTGGGGGGAATGAAAATATTCTAAAATTGTGGTAATGGATGCACCACTCTGTGAATCTACTAAAAAACACTGAGTTGTAGAATGTAGCTGTGTGAATTGAATGGCATGTGAATTCCATCTTAATGAAGGTGTTACCAAGAAAAGAAATGAAGTCCTTTCTCAGGGGCATGCAGTGAGCTTGTTCCAAAGGGACAACCAAGAGGCCCTGGAGGGCCTCCAGAGTGCCTCAGGATTCCCTTAGCAACATGGCCAAGGAAAGTTGTAGCCACAGAGCCATGGCACCAGTGACATCCCATGAAATGGGAATCCACAACACATTCCTTCTGTACATCCTCAGCTTCCTTCTATATATGCTGAGTGCATGCAACCTGAGCAGCTAGGAGGCGGACCATAGACCACAGACCTCATGCCCCTCATGGCTTTCCCCCTTGCAAAAATCTTTTGGAATAAAACTCTCTCCTGACTAAGTCTGGATTTGGTTTCTGTTTGTTTGTTTTTATTTGTTTTGTGTTTTGATGCCCAAACCCACACGGGGCTCTCAGGATTAAATTGCCAAGTGGTTCCTCCCAACACCATCATTAGTTCTTACCCTGGCCTACTTTCCTCAACACTGATGGAATTGATTTGTCAGTACATCTCCTTGCTTCATCTGTGGACTCCCTCCGTCCATCCTCTGTTTTCTTGTAACAAGTTGAATTACCACTGATAATCAGATTCTCAAAACACAGCAATCCTTGGAGAAGCTGTTTGATTTGGAACTTTTGGAAGAAGGTAAAAGGACTTTTTTGGTGATGATGCAGCCTATGGTCTACGATGAGAACTGTGACTTTCTGCCACACGGTGGGTTACAAAGGATACACCTTGTGTTCTCACATGCCCACTGAGCAATGCTTGAGCAAGGGATAGAGGGAGCCATGTCCCCTCAGAGCTGGCTGGGATTTTCTCTTGGTACTTTCTTCTCGTTCCCCAGCTGATCTGTACCCAGAACTCTTGCTTTTAACTGAGTTAGTTTCTATTTGGCATTTTCTTGAAGTGCTGAGTGTTTACCCATGCATTTCTAGCCAGGGCTTCCCACCACACAGGGACAGGGACGATGACCATAAGTCCTTTGTATTATGTGCACTAATGTTCCTCCAGGGTAGTCTTTTGGGTTGTTGGTTTCAACCCCTTCCTGTTCTATATTCTGTGGGCTGTTCTAAGGAAAGAAGCAGGTCTGACAGCCATCACTTCAGTCTCCTGAAAATTTGACTCTACGTGAAGGAGGAACTGAATGTTTGGGAACTCTTTGCCAGGTTCTTCATCTGTCTCCTTTTCCTAAAACCACAACTGTTCTAACCACACAGAAATAAGTGGCTCACATTAGCGTGCTTATTCTGGTACTTTATCAAGAACTGAATAGTGGACCTAGATCTATATTATAGGCAGTTTCTGGGCTTTATTTACAAACAGAGTGCTTTAGACAAAGCCTTTTGCATAATACAAATAGCAAGTGATTATTCTCAAATGGCCATAATACTCCTAGTCAAAAGCTCTTTCAATTGAAATGGCATTAGCATGCATCTTATTTTCCAGAAAATGTATTGGAAACTGCAGGAGAAAGGTCCATTCTCTGTGCCCTTGGGAGAACTAAGCTACTGAATAAAGAGGAAAACCGAGTCGTTATTGAAAGACCTGATTCTCTACTTTGGAGAAGTTTGATAAGATTATTTGATAAGAGTCTTGGGCTCCTTTGTGTTTGGAGCGAGGCACTGATGAAGCAGGCAGGAGTAAAACATTGAATAAGATACGGTTCCTTCTCTAAGGACATTTACAATCTACTTTTATGAACATTCCAGTCAAGAATCCCCAACCACCATGTGAGGGGATGACACATTTCTAAGTTTGGGTTTGTTTCTTTTTCCCTGCTCCTAATACCATCCAAATCTAGCGCCTTCACCAACAAAATGATGATATCCACTGGGACCCAGACAATAGTCTAAAGAATGGAAAGCTGAATAACTTTGTCCTCTGTGTGATATCTGCTTGATTATTCTAAAAAAACAGAAGTCGATGACTATTTTTGCACTAAATAGTCACAATCCAAGGCTCTCTGCTTTGATTTAAGGCTCTTTGGGGTCACTGAAGTGTCATTTGGAAAATTGCTTCCTGACACATAATATTATGGTAATGATCCCCTAAAGCCTGGCATAAAGGCTCTGCCATGAGAGCTAACAATTTATTTTCTTCCAAGTATGGTTTTAAAACAAGAGGCAGCTGGGGGTCAAGAGAGAGGCTCTGGGTTATAACAGGCTTAATGCGACCCTTGGAATTTTTTTAACATGCTTGGGAGGAGAAAGATTGTTCATAAATACTCATTTACAGAAACAGTTCAAGAGACACAGAAAAGATAAATTCTTACATCTGAGCACACAATTATAACCTAATAACAATATAAATAAGGAGAAGAGAGGAAGGTGCTAGAATTTTGGGGGTAAGGTTAGAAGCTGAGAGACCTAGATTCAAATCCCAGCCTTGCCTCTCATTGATTATATCCCTTTGGTTTACAAATCAAGCTTTTTGAGCTCAGCCACCTCAGATAAAGCAGAACCACCTGCCTCAAAGACAGGGGTGAAGTTTAAATGCAATATTGTGAGCAAAAGCTAAGAAGCAAATATATAGTGTATGTACATAGACTAGTCTATGTGTATGGTTTATGTACCTAGTGTAAACTCAACAACTGTACTGATCATTGTTAGTATTACTGTTATATAGGAGTTATACACAAAATTACTACATACACAGGGCCAGGTACCATGCTCTGCTCCATATGTGAGATAGGTAGTGTGATGTACATTTATTTTGTCTAGGCTATGGTGCCAGTATTCGGCTGAACACTAGGCTAGATGTTCCTGTGAAGGTGTATTTTAGATGTGATTACATTTAAATCAGTAGACTCTCAGTAAAGCAGATTATCCTGCATAATGTGGTTGGGTGGGGAGTGGATGGGGGCCAGGGTGGGTCTTATCTAATCATTTGAGGGGCTTAGGAGCAATGACTGAAGTTTCCCAAAGAAGAAACAATTTTTTCTCAAGACTGCAACATAGAATCCCTGCTGAATTTCTAGCCTTCTGGTCTACCCTGAAGATTTGGGGCTTACCAGCCCCTACAATCAGGAGCCAATTCCTTAAAATAATGAGAGAGAGAGAGAGATAGACAGAAATACAAATATAGCTGTCTACAGAGACAGAGACAGATCTCTCTAGATGGATAGATAAATAGATGCAATAGAATTATAGTTATCTATATAGTATAGGTCTCTCTAGATAGATGATAAATAGATAGATCCAATAGAACTACAGTTATCATTGTATAGACAAAGATATATTGGATACACCTATGCACCTGTCTGTCTTTCTATCTAGGGAGATCTATCTCTGGCTCTCTCTACAGATAGACAGATCTATGGATGGATAGGTATATATATATACCTATATCTATGTATCTCTATATCTCTATCTATGGATATCTTATTTGTTCTGTTTCTCTAGAGAACCTGATTAATTCAGGCAGGGAGAACCACAAGTAAATAGGCTATCTGAATGCTCTGTGGTGGGTCTCACTATAAGGGCCACTTAATGCTGTCTTTGAAGGACTGGATGTCGCTGCCCAAAAAGAGGGTTGAAAATGAGAACACCCTTTAATGGGTAGATACCAGGGGAGGATCAGCTAGAGGATTAAGAAGATAAATAAGATATGTGGGGAATGAGGCCAAGCAAGACAAGAGGGAAAGCTTTCCCAAGGGAAGGAGGGTTCATCTGATGGGAACACTAGAAAGTGTACATCAGATGGGTTGGCCTGGTGGTGGGTATTGAGGAGGGCACATTCTGCATGGAGCACTGGGTGTTA